TACAGTACAGGTATGATGTTAATAATAGAAGAAATTATATATATGCATGTAAAACTGTGCAGTGCAGGGATTAAAGTCCATTAAGTGTTAGCAGAGACAAACAAGGCTACATTAGATAAATAAATTAAGTTATATTGTGCATATTCTCTCTCTTTTTATCTTTACTTTAATATTCTTTATGATGTTTAATCTTCATGGATTATATTGATGCCGGATTGAGAAGAAGACTGCGGTCATCTGACGCACTTTATGTTGTAAAAGTGAATCTTTCTGAAGTCTAAAATGTAACGTTTTTTAAATGGAGTTTGGTTGCAGTTATCCGGCTGTTTGCTGACTGTGTCTTTCAGGAGCAGCAGGTTAATGACGAGGAGGTCGTGGCGTTCTCCGTACCGAGCTACGCCTGTCAGAGGAGGACGACTCTGGAGAACCACAACGCCGTCCTGACTGTACGTCCTCCAGACAGATGTTGTAGAGGAAGATAAAATAACATCCAGGTGGTCTCAAACATGCGTGTGGTGTATTTTCCTTTCTCAGGATGCTTTGTCGCTCCTGGCTGAGAACGCAGAGCTCAGCAAGGAGGAGGGGCGAGGAGTGGCGTTCCGAAGGGCCGCCGCCGTGTTGAAGGCGCTCCCCAAACCGGTGGCGAGCATGACGCAGCTCAGAGGGCTTCCCTGTCTGGGAGAGCATTCACTCAGAGTCATCAAAGTCAGCAGAAAATGTCCTTTTTAAAATGTTTCTAACCTTTTTTTTAGCTTCTTTATCAAACTCAGGATCCAATAATTTAATCTCTGTTCTCGTAGGATATTCTGGAGAACGGAGCTTCAAGTGAAGTTGAATCTACGAAACAGTCTGAGCGATACAAAGCGCTGAAGGTAAGTCAGCTCGTGATGTATCGCGGCGCTCTCCAACCTTCAAGGAACATCTGAAGGGTCATCAGATAGACTGAGGGATGAAAACAAGACATTTCTTAACTGTTTCATTGTGAAATAAAACATTATTTCGCCTCTAAAAAACCCAAATTAAATAATCCGTCTTTGTAAGAACGTCTCACATTATTTCTGCAGCATAAGAGAAGATGCAGTATTAGCTGAGCAATGAGCTATGACTTGCTTAGTAGGCCGTATTTCTGAGGTATCTGATGGATCTGCTTCAACAAAACGAAGGTCATCTTGACGGTCTGAACTGAAATAGTTAGTTATCTAACGCTGCCGCCATCTCAGCTTCAGAGAAAAACGCCACATATCAGGTGACGTACTGTGTAATACTGCTGTACTAGCTAGCTTAACTTAATCAAACAAACTATTAAAAGGATCATAAACCTAATGAGATGAAAGCGTTATGATTAATGTGTGTTTCAGGTTTTAACAGGTATTTTTGGAGTCGGAGCGAGAACAGCGGACCGATGGATCCGAGACGGGATACACAACCTTCAGCAGTTACAGGATTCAGGACCGACGCTCAATCGAGCTCAGCAAGCAGGTGTGTGTCTGCTCTCAGGATGTTTTTATGATCGTAAAGTTTCTCTCTGACTGAGTAACTTCTTTCAGGCCTCGAGCACTACGACGACATAAACCAGCCGGTCAGCAAGGCAGACGCCGACGTCATCAGTGAGGTCGTGGAGAAAGCGGTTGTGTCTGTGTTACCAGGCGCACACATGACTCTGATCGGAGGATTCAGGAGGTAAAAGAGCAAACAGCCAGGATATCATGAACCCTTCCAGGAGGTTATAAAGGTTTAACATGGGGACAAACTACGGCCAACCAAACTCCACTGACAAAACCAGTAATTTTACTAAGCGGATAAACATAAACACACAGACAGAAATTTAAATAAAACTCCCCAAAACTGTATTTGTTGTTCTATTATGCTGTCAGAAAGTGTCTGACAGCATTATGGAAAGAATCCCTACAGAGATAGACCTTTAGTTTAACCACAAACAGCCGTTAGATCACTATCACTCTCCACCAGACTCCAGAGACAAAAACACTCATTTTACCTTCAGATCATCATAACTTTATTTAAACAAAATAAAACAAAATAAAATTCTGTCTCTGTTAGTATTTAAACAATCACCAGCTCTGGTTTGGTGGAAATAAA